GGTGTCTTTGTACACCAGTCACAAAACGTTAGTATGCAGGTACAGCAAGCAACTAGGAAGGCTAATGCCATGTTGGCATTCATTGCGAAAGGGTTAGAGTACAAGAGTAGTGAAGTCTTGCTGCAGTTGTATAAGGCCTTGGTGAGACCGCACCAAGAATATTATGTGCAGTTTTGGTCTCCTTATTTAAGAAAGGACATACTCACCTTAGAGGGGGTGCAGCATAGATTCAATAGCTTGGTTCCTGGGATGAGGGGGTTGACCTATGAGGATAGGTTGAGTAAACTAGGCCTATAGAATATAGAAGAATTAGAGGTCTTGACAGGGTGGATGCCATGAGACTGTTTCTCCTGGTTGGAGAATCTAAATTTATGGGTCGTAGTCTCAAGATTAAGGGTCAGCCTTTTTGAACTGAGTTGAGGAAACATTTCTTCACTCAGAGGGTAGTGAATTTGTGAATCTAACTCAGAAGGCTGTGGATGCTCAGTCCTTGAACATATTCAACACTGAGATTGATAGATTTCTAAAGGATAGAGGGATTAAGGGATATGGGGATAGGGCGGTTAAATGGAATTAGGTTAGATTTTGCTCACAAATATACAGTCAATTCACTTTACAGTATATTCTGTGAAGTGCTTTGAGACGTCTAGAAGATGTGAAAAGCGCTATATAAAATGCAAGGATTATTATTATATTATTATTATTATTATTAGAAGTTCAGCCATGATCTTATTAAATGTCGGGGCAGGTTCGAGGGGCCAAATGGCCTACTCCTGCATCTTATGGTCTTATGGTCTCTGAATACCATAATAACCCGGTGACTGGGAGATTCCAGTAGACGTCTGGCTTTCTGCTTTGAGCAATGTGCCTTTTCTTGTTCTGCATTAACCAATGTGTCTTTCCGAATCTCGTTCAGGTGTGATGATTTGTGTCTATGGCCCTGCAATCAAAGGTAGCAATTCTAAAAACAATCCGGATAGCAACATTTCCCTTGATCCAATGAGGGATTCAGCAATTTTGAATCCTCTATTCTCTGTTCTGATGATCCTCTCTTCCGCTTGACAGGTTTCCACTTGGCTCAAAGCAGAACTTCTCTGCTTCCAACAGCACAATTCTATCTTCCACAGTTGAATGGAGCCTTTCCACCTCTAAATCGTCTAAATAACAGCCTTGAAATGGGACTTAAAGGATCTATCACAGATTATATCCAGGCTTCAGGGTGAGACATTCGTTCTCTGAACACTTTGAGGCAAATCGCATATCGCTGATACGTACAAAATGTTCACCTTAGATTTGATCTGGAGGTGAGTGCGCCTTTCTTTTATTTTGGGATGTGTGTGTGGTGGATAGAATTCTAAAGCGGATTCATACCAATGAATTGGTATCTCAGCTTGGAGGAGATTTTCGCTGCTAAATCCCACCCGTGTACAAAGGAGTGAAATGAGCAGTTAAGAGCAACAAAGGACCGTGAAGTTTACATTGTCTGGGGAAGGGAATATCTCAAACAGTGAGTGGTGGGAGACGTTAAGGTCATAAGAACATAAGAATTGCTAGATGAAAAAAGACCAAGGTACATTCTGTTCACCTCCGACCGAAACTAAACTATATATTGTATCTCGAGATATTATTTCGGGAACAGAAATCTAGCTAATTGCTCTTGAAAGATCAGCTTAAAATTAAAATCAGAAACAAAACCAGAAGTCGCTGGGAACACTCAGCAGGTCAGGCAGCATCTATGGAGAAAGGAAAGTGAGTCAACGTTTCGTCAGAACTGGGGCAAAAGAGGTGTTAATGGTGCAAAGCAAAGGGGAGATTGCAACAAAACAGGGGAAAAGAGGTGTTAATATTGCAAAATTAAACTAAAATCAGATATCGTTTGGCAACTCTAAAGATATTAAATGTTCGGTGGGTTTCGTTCAGTTCTGTCTCATCTCATTCTTTGTCTCTCAACTCGTCCTACCCTCCCTGCTCTCGATAGACGAGTTTCACAAATTGAAAAGTGTTAATATTTCAGATTGCAATAAACATCGACATGGATGAGTTGGATTGAATTGCCTGTTTCCATGCTGTACCCCTCTATGTAACTCTATGAAACATACAGCGCTCGTGATCCTGGCTTTCACAACAGTCTGTAAATCCCTGCTCGCTATGCACTGCTAATTTGCCAGACACTCGAATTGTCCTTTTATGAAAAATGCGCTGAATAAATGCAAATAGTAGTTGGTTGGTTTTCCCCTAATGGTTTTGCCTTCCGTTTATTCCCCCACAAGCTCGGGTGCTCAGCCATGAAACATTTGACACTTGCTCCCGCCATGAAAAGTGCAATATGAATATTAAATTGTATTGTGTTGTGCTTTACTGTTGAGGTTTATTTTCAAGCATAATATTTATTATAGACTAGCCAAGCTCACCCTCCAGTGGAGTTCTTTAGTCAGTGCAGGTACTGTATCATTTCTAATGTTGCTGATCTCTGAGAATATTAGTTACCCAATAAATACTGCGAATATTTGCTTTGAGACGTCTTCCTGACGAGAAAGGCGCTATGCCAAATGTACCGATTATTATGATTTGATTGGGCTGAGTCGCCTGAAAGCAGATCGGAGGCAACTTGTTTTAAAACTACCGCTGCCACACAGATTTGTTTAAAGTCCCAGAGAGAGAAAGAAAATCCTACCCGTCAGCCGATAATCCATTAGTATTTTATAACTTGGAGCAAATTTTAATCATAAGTATTTCACCGTAAACTTTACAGCGCAGAAGAAGGCCATTTGGCCCATTGTGTCCGTCTGTGCTGTCGCTTTGAAAGGGTAAACCGTCCAGTCCCATTAATCTACTTTTACAACTATAAATGCTTCCTTTTTAGATAATCTGTCTTGTTTCCTCTTGAAAACTAATATGGAAACTGCTTCCCTGCACGAAGCAGCACATTTTATCGTTGTGAAACATGTAAAACGATTATAGTGACACACGTTTACTTCTTTACCAGATCTGAGTTGTAAATGCAACACCTGAAGCTCGGTAAGCTTTCCTGTTGCGTGCATTAGAATAGTGATTCAACTCAACAAAACTAGACATTTGAAATAATTTAATGAAGAGCTCCATCTGCTGGATCTCCTTCATCAGAACCAGTAAATAGCATTTCCTTGTCAGAGGTGCCGTCCTTTGGATGAGACTTTAAATCGACGTCCCGTCTGCGCCTGTTTAGGTGGACATGAAAGATCCCATGGCAGTGTTCGAAACGAGAAGGGAGTTCATCTCGGTGGCCTGTTCCGGGGTGCGATTCCCCCAGATAAAAAAAATACTGTCATTCATATTCATTGCTGTTTGTGGGACATTGCTGCGCTCTGCATTCCTGTGCAGTCGGCTCACTCTGCAATAAAACCCTCTGGGGGCTCTTCGAGATGTCCTCCTGACGTGAAAAGTGATATATCAAACGTAACCCCCTCCATCTCCCCTCCCCTCTATTTCGCCTCCAAACACATGGGCATTATACTCTGTGGTAAATTTATGCTGTGAGACACTTTGATGACCTGATGAAATGCGATATCAAATTTAAGTATGATTAATATTGTTATTCTGTTTTCAAAACCTCCTAAAAAACTACCTACCCGTTCGACTGTACCTACACCTCCCCCTCCCTTGACCTCCCTGCTGGCTGTCCAACAGTATCTCTCTAAATCACTCTAAACCCTGACTCTTGAATGAAGGGTGCTTAAAAGTTGCTGTTTATCCTGCCTCCTCCACATACCAGGCTTGCGTGATATTCACTTTCTTTTTAGCACAGTTGTTGGTATAAAAAAATCCGTTGAACGCCCTTGGGTGAGGTTGTCCAGTAATAAGATCTATCATTATAATATTCAAAGTTCTGGTCAGTCCGAACAAGGCGAGCGTTACGTGGTACTAGGGTGTGAAGCGAAATGAATAATCTGATGTATGTTTGCTTCGCTTTGTGTTGAAGGGGCAGAATTTCATCAGGGTGACAGGTCAAAAATGACCTCAGAACAGATGAAAATGACTGGGGGAATAAATCTTTCCTGTCATGGTTGCACAGCAGTGATTTACGTGCTTCTTCAAAGACCGCAAGGTCATTTGGGATGCACGGTCCAGACTATGCACTGTGTATGTCCTTCGGATGAGACATTAAATTGAGGTCCTTTCTGCTTATTCAGGTGGATGTTAAAGATCCCATGGTACTATTGAAAAAAAAAGGGAGTTTCTCCCAGAATCCTGGCCAACAATCCCCCAGATAAACTTGGTCAGGGCCGTTTGTGGGATGCTGCGATGTGAAAATTAGCTACAGCGTTCGCTTGCAAATAGACAGTCACTACACGTCACAGTAAATCCTTTATGTGTTCACATTTTTATTCAGAATTTGACTACAGTTCAAGTCGCCACACCGTTACAGCAGTTACTCGCCGAAAGCCTTTTAAGACGTGCATTGAACGCGAAGATTGTTACGTACATATTATGGAAATGTTGGGGAGAAAATAGCAGCTTTAATTCCAGCCTTTTCGTTCTGTGCGAATGATCTGCTGAACGGCATTTGGTTTCTGTGAGTGATCAAGAATGTCCGTGATGCCGCCTTGTGGCTGAGTAGCTTCATGACACCCAGTGTCTTGGCTCACGCATGATGAATGGACACACCGCCAATGTCACGGAGATCAGGGGGGGGGGGGCCTTTCCTTGTGGAACTTCACCCCGGAACGAGCGAGGACTCTAAAGAAAAGAAATACCTCCTCGCTATCCAAATACACAGTCACTACGCTTGACAGCAATTACCCTTTCCGCCCACAAAATCTACAGCCACTACACTTTACAGTATATTCTGGGAAGCGCTTTGAGACGTCTCGAAGACGTGATAAGGCGCTGTATCAAATGGAAAGGGGTTATTATTATTAACTGTAATTGAGATATTTCAAGTTCGTGGGCGCTCTATCAAATCTAACGAATGTTATTATTATTATTTGTGCTGTAAGACTTACTAACACAACACGCTGCGTTCATTGTTGCACGTGTGACATCTCGGTGCTAGGAGGTCGGGGCCCTATCTGTGGCGTGGCGCGGAAGAGCTTACTCTTGATCTTTTTGGTGGACGAGATGATGAGGAGCGGACTGAAGGAGGCGTAGCAGGAGGAGAAGAAGACCCTCAGGTCTGCGATGTCAGGCGGGACGAGAGGTACAGTGAGCATGTAAATCCAGATGAGGTTGTCGATGCCAAAGAAGACGACGTACAGCGAGACCAGAGAGATGACGGACTTGGCAGCCCTGTTCTCGGCCTTGGCTTGCTGGGCGCTGCCCGCCCTCTGGATGGCCCTGACCTGCCTCCTGTGTCGGTGCAGGATCAACAGAATGTAGCCGCTGGCGAACGTCATGAGACCCACGAAGAGGAAGTCCCGTGTGGAAATGAAGACCCCGTTGACCACGTACGACACCCGATCGGGGAACCCCACCAAGCAGAAGCCCAAATCCAGAGTGAAGTTGGAGACGGTGGAATTGGCGACTGCCACGGAGAACAAGGGAGCAGCGATGCACAGCGCTATGTTCAGCGCCCAGAGAGCGGCAGCGAGGGGGCCGATGGACCTGCCGGCTTTCCGCTTGTAGTTGGCCAGCTTAGAAGTGACCGGCATCAGGGTGAGGCTTGAAACACACTCAGCAGGCAGGTCTCGCAGACGGACAGAGCGCGGACGACTCGGTAGGCGTAGATCACGATCTTGCAGCCCGCGTCGTTCAAGAGGTTGGCCACGTCAAAGGTCACCAGGGTCTGCGGGACTCCGCGGGTCAACACCACCATCAGGTTGACGAAGGCCAGGTGGGTGAGGATCACGTCGACCGGCAGGAGCTTTCGATCGGAGTACCCGATGTGAGCGTAGGAGAGGAGGATGGTCAGGTTTCCCAGGATCCCAATGGCCGTTTGTAGGAGGAACGATGTTCCTTTGACGACCGTACATAATTCCATGTCGGAATTCCAAATCCCCTGCTGCCGCTCGATCCCCGAACTGAGAAAGAAACCTGTAATTGTTCAACAGCGCAAGACGACGCAATTGCTGTTGATACCAGAGCCCTTTCGTGTCGGGAGGAACATCTCGCAGCGCTTGACAACAAGGGGACCTCAGCTGAGAGAGGAAGGCGAGGGTTGGAGGGGAGGGGGACAGGGTGACCGAGAATGGCACCAGAATGGCTGGAAGCCCGACCGCCCACCGATGGTGGGGGCAGATTGGGCAGAGAGGACGTTAAGCAGCGCTTGCTGGCCGAGCAAAAGGAGGGCATGAGCAAGTGAAGCTCGACAAAGCTTTACTTTGGGGTTTCGGCAAAAGGTTTCTGCGGAGAAGAACAACAAATGCTCAAGCGCTCTCGTCTCCGCTGCGGCTCACGACAGCACAAGGTGGAGTGGATTATTTTCCGGGGGGTGGTAAATAATCCCTTCAAGAAAGAACAAAAAAAATAATAATTTGGTCACTCAATCCACGGCTGTTTGTGGGACGCCGCTGTGCGCAATTGGCTGCCGCGTTTCGCCCACAAAATAGACAGTCAATTCTCTTTACAGTGTATTCTGCGAATCGCTTTGAAGCGTCTCGAAGACGTGATAAGGTGCGATATCAAACGCAAGGATCATTATTATTATTAATATCGTTATTATTATAACTCCAGAGCCGTTTGCGCAATCGAATGCATTGCGATTGCTTTTCATTGCAATGGTTTACCACACTCCAGGCTGTCTATCATCAAGGGCAAGTGCAAAAAAAAGTTTACTTTAAATTTCCTCAAACTCTTTTGTCACCTTTCTCCCCCACCCCCAGTGTTAGCTGACACTTGCTTCTGATTTTTTTCTCTCCCTTCCTCCGGGACGTCTGTCTGTCTGTCTGTCTCATAACTCAAAACCTTCCATGTGGACGCAGAACTGGAGCTCAACAAAGGACTCTATTGATCTTCAGGATAGGGAGAGGATTTGCTGGGCAGACATGAAGGAGAATGCTGTCACTTTATTTACCACCAATCTCATGGATGACAGCATCTAAACTTAAATGAGTAAATAGTAGCTGTGGCTCAGTGGTTAGAAGCACTCGCCTCGCAAGCGAAAGACCTGGGTTCGATTCCCGGCAGGGCGAAATGTTGGGTAATTTTCTTTACTCCACACGCCTCTGATTACCTAGTAGTAAGTACGGTCAATTCACTTCGCAGTATATTCTGTGAAGCGCTTTGAGACGTCTCGAAGTCGTGATAAGGTGCTGTATCAAATGCAAATATAGGGATTATAAATACTGACCGATTCCCAATCAACTAAGTGAGCTGTTGTTCCAGTCCGCAGTGCCGCTGAGCTCCAGAACAATGTTCCACCGGCAGAAGCGAAAAAGATCAGAATGGCACTGCATTGCAGTGTCAGCCTACATGATGTGAGCTCAAAGTCCCAACGTGGGGCTTACAACCCACCACCTTATAATTATTATATAACTCGAGGAGAAACTATCAGATGCTGTATATTGCATTCCAGAAATCAGTTTTAATTCTTACTCAATTATATCCATTACACTGACAAACAGTATGAATTCCACTTGGTGCCAGATTTACTCTGATAAAGATGAGTTTTCAGAGTGTGCAGAATTTGGCAACTTGTTCAATTACGGGGGAAATTTGTGTTTTGGACGCTCTGAAATAATAATAATATTAATCCTTGCATTTGATATAGCGCCTTATCACGTCTTCGAGACGTCTCAAAGCGCTTCATAGAATATACTGTAAAGTGAATTGACTGTACACTTTGCAGGCGAAATGCGAAGTAACAGACTAAATCTGGACACATGTGGAATTCCTACCCAGAAGTGTCTTACAGATCTGAAAAGTTATGGTAACTATTTTCGCTATCCACCAATTCAGCGATTGGAGTCCATTATCTCCTGTGAATGGAATCCTTTTCGCGTCTGGAAATCAAGGTTTGCCACATTTACTTTTAGATTTCAGGCCAGAAACCGTGGTGGTCTACGGATAAGAACAGATTGTTGGTTTTATTATTGGTTTCAGAATCTCGGTCAGACAGAAGGAAAGAAATGACTCCTTTCTTACTCTGGTCTGGGGCTTGCTCCTTACTTTCTCTGTCCCCACCATTGAGTCTTCAACCACCCGTGCTCATGCTTTCTGGAACTCTCACCTCTTTTGCCTTCCTCTCCCTGCCTTTAAAACTGTCTTTGGAACTTCTATCTGATTATATCTTTGCCCAACATCCTCCAATTCCAATTCCTTTCCTTCCTGATCCACATTACCTTCGTGAAGTCCTTTCCGTTGATTATCCAACATGAAAGACGTAACGGAAAATTATTATTGTTCTCACACAATTAGTCAAACATAAGGTTTCGTACCTGCCCTCGGCACTGAATCTGAAGCTGTGAATGTCGGTTGCTCCATATCATTAATATTAATATGATTAATATTCACTGAAACAAAAAGATTCTACTGTGCACCAATTAGATATTCCATAAATAACAAAGACTTACTTAGGGAAAGGATGCCTCGATCTCTGGTTAGGTCAGTCCTCTTTGAATGAGCAAACCCTGTTTTTAAGAATCAATTTATACCTAAGGACAAGTCCTTGCTCCTTGGTTGTGATCTGCAGGCCAGTGCGTGAGGGAATTGGGATGCTTACACAAAACACAACAAATGATATGCCGCATAAATCCCCCAGGACTTGTTATATGAACAGTCGTGGAACCGGAATATTAAATCATGGAGTAACGTTAAGTTTGGGAATCAAATCCATTATTATTTGAGAGCACGTCCGTGACTCAGTAACAATTGAGAAATTTACGGAGCTGATTTCAAACGATCGCAAGGTTCGCTTTGGATGAAGTAGGACCTTCAGCCCATCTGGTCTATTCTCTCCAGATCACCCACCCTACCGTCCTTCTTAAACTCCATTTGTTCAAGGGGAGTAAGGGTGGACTGAATATAATAATCCTTACATTTGATACAGTACCTTTCACGTCGGGAAATGAAAGGTGCTTCGCAGGATATACTGTATATTGCAGTGACTGTGTGTTTTGTGGGCTAACGTGGCAGTCAATTGTCGCACAGCAACATTCCCCACAAACAGCATGGAGTGAATCACCAATTAAAAGTTTAATTACACCCCTGATATTCGCAGCCATGAAGGTAACAACAAGGTCTCCAATCCTCTTAGGTACAGAAGTTCTGTATGAAATCCTTAAATTGCAATAATTATTGAATATTCCAGAGTTGATCTGAAAATTCTGCCGAGTTTTTGTGCAGGATGCCTTTTTAAGAGCACTTTGTGTTTTTCTTTGGTCAGTGTAAAATAACCCAACATCTCACCCAGCTCGAACATAACGCTTCATAATTACGAGACAATAATTCGAGCCTGCGGGGCAAGATTAAACCGAGGACTGCAATTTGCGAAGTAGATGTTGTGAAATCATTGACATAATCCCTGCAGGAAGTAGTGTTAGATCCATTGCTCCACCAGCAATCTGCATTTTGATGTTCTTTTCTCCAATCTGCTCACTGTAGTGTTCTCTGGACTTGTAGGCGATTCTTGGATGTGACCCACATGCGTGTGAGAGCACACCTCGCTGGTCTCCCCAGTTCCACCAACCCCCAAAGGTCCAGTGAATACAAAACTCCATCCTCACCCACACCATGTTCCTTACCCCCATTACCCCAATCGTCTCCGGGCTCCAATTTTGATTTAAATTTTCTCATAAGGCTCTTTTCTTGGGGAAGCAATGCAAGCCCCTCTGTGAGTGAGGATCTTCACAGTCCCAAGGGTGGTGGGGGGACATTTTAAAAGATTACCTTTTCCATCCACATGTATACATCTTGCCCCCAGGTTTCTATGTGTCTCTGAGCTCCACCGGAACCTCTTAGATCTTGTTTCAACAACGTCCTTCAACCAGTCCATGACTCTTACACGTCTCTGAAATCCCTGCTAACAAATTCGACTTGACTGCTCTCCATCCCTGACCTTATTATGTCCATTGAACAATGGCTGGTTTGGTTTGACAACCTATTCCTCCCCTTTAGGTCTAATTTGTACATTTCGACCCAGGAGAATGTGCTTTGTGCTATCTGCAGGAATATTTTCCTGATGATATTTTCAGAGGCGAATCCTATGAATATAGTGATCTTCACCATGATCTTTTAAGTTTTCAAACTTTTCCCAGCACTGAGGAACAACTCTCTCATAGTTTCAGGCTATTTATTGAGAGATGAACCATAGGGTAATAACATAGTAACAGTGGGCCATTTAGAACATTGAATCCATACTGCCATCGGCTTAGATCACAGTAGATCCTTTAATCCCATTTCTCCACTGTTAATATCCTTACTTTGCAAGTATCTCTCCATTTGTGTTTTATCCAACATTAAATTACGAAGCAAACAAATGATGTTTTTTAACACACGTGAGGGAGAAGGGAATAGATGAGTACAGGAGGAGGTTGGGAGAGGGGAGGAGGAGTGATAGAGTAGCAAGGAGAGGATCAACAGCTGCACAACCAGTGGCCTGTTTCAGTGCGGCACAGTCTATGTCAGGGTGGTCCAACGTTTGGTCTGGAAGTGAGGATGGGCCGAATGTGGCCCGCGGGCCACCAGTTGAGCCATCCTGGTCTATGTAATTCTATGGAACAATTTAGCAAGCCGTCTACTTGCAGCTTGCACCAGGCTTTACCATCAGCATGATTTCAGGGTTATTTATTGTTCTCCAACAACACGGAATTCCAAGACACAACAACTGGGAGGTCATCCTGTCATTAGGCTTTGGTGATTATCATTACACCTGCAGCCTGTGTTCGGAGAGCGGGAGAAATGATCCCAGCTTTAAGCATCGTAAACGTGGGCAACCAACTGTGAGTGTACACTTGCACAGCACAGCAATGAACCAAACTACATCGGATAGCTAAGAGGAGGCAGAAAGGCAATAATGAGCGGTTTAGAGGTAATTGGATCAAA